TTCATAGGTCAAAAATTACCACGATGTTTTTGCGTAACTTATCACGCCTATAGCAGGTCAAAGTGGGCCGTTTTTCTGGGCCAACCCATGAGCATGTGTGCCTCCTCATGACACTAAACATTATGTGGCTTTTCTGTGGCACATCATTTGTTGTGTTTATCTAAGAGGCCCCGCGAGGCGAGTGTATGTTTTTAACAACTTGTTTTCCTTTGGTAAAAAGTTACCATTATGTTTATATTGTAAGTTATCAGTTATGCGGTGCTTATATTATCATGTTATTCACACAAAAATTATCGGGGATGTTTTGAACAACTTTTTTCCCGGACAAAAAGTTATCATGGTGATTCTAGTTAACCTATCAAGCCTGCAATGCTTAAAATATCATGCTATTTACACAAAATTTATCAGGGGTATGTTTCAGCAAAATCCCCCCCCCCACAGGTCAAAAACTTATCATGGCGTTTAGTATCGCGGTGCATATGTATTCATGCTATATATTTACACATGAAAATACCAGAGGAGGGAGGTATAGTACTGTGCTATTTACATAGAAGATACCGGAGTATCTTTAAAAAAATCTTCCCTATGGTCAAAGTTACCATGGTGTTTCTATCTCAGTTATCAGATGTGCGCTACGTATATTACCATCTATTTACACGTAAATTATCTGGTTTCTTTTCACATTTTTCTTCCCCAACGGTTAAAGTTACCACGATGTTTGTATCTAAATTATCAGGTCTATGGCGTAAATGTTATCGTGCTATTTACAGAAATTACCGAGGGCCGGGGTTCAACAAATTTCTTTCCAATGATCAAAGTTACCATGATGCTTTCATCAAAGTTATCACGCCTTCAATGCTTATGACCATGCTACTTACACATAATATACCGCGTGGTATACAAAAGTTATCATGTTGGTGTGCGTCATTTATCGTGGTGGTGATGGAGAATTTACCACGGGAAAAGTTTATGTGCCAGGTTTGATAGATGAAACAAAAGCTTTTTAGTGCTAAAATATTGAAGGCAAAACATGTCAAAAACATTATTTTTCCTTAGCTTGTTCAACAATGAGTGTCATAGGTGAGATAGAAAGCGCGTGGGGCCGTAACTGATGATACCATTCTCTACCCCTTTTCCTTCCGTGCATTCTCTCTGTTTCCTTCCTTACTCAGCCCTCCCTCTTGAGGAACGTGAATCACGTCTGTTTCTCCTTGTTTCCTTATTTCTGAAATCAGCCTCTCTTTCTTTAATTTCTTTAGCCCCTCTCTCTTTCCCTCCTTATCATCTCTCTCTTTCTCTCTTATTTCCAAGAGGACTTCTTAATTCCCAGGGAAGTTAATGACATATATAAATTGGGTGGATCACATGTAAGGGGGCGATGTGGTATTATTTGACAGGCGAGTTGACCTTTTAACACTGAATATAACCTAGTTTGGTTGGTTGTGGCGTTATGCGCTCAACAGTAGGTTGCGTGTTCGATTTAGGCTCAAACATTTTTTGCCTTGGTCTGGCTCGTCAGGATAAGTGGGCCTGATTCCTTGGGCCATCGGACGCATCAAACGGGATGGTTAATTCGGCCTACTCGTGTGGATGTTGGGTTTAGTCCTTCTCTCGGACCAGAGTAGATATCGAGGAAGGATTTTTTAGACGAAAGCGAAACTGGCGTACAATGGGTTTTGACACGGACGGACGAAAATTTTAAGATGGACGAAATTATGATGAGAAGAAGCAATAGCCCTTTTATTATTACTAGCACAAAAGTCCGTGCGTTGCAACGGGGAAGAAAATTGATGCATTGATTTGAGAAAAAGGCTAGTTTCGCCATTCACCAAAATGCCCATCAACGCGGCATACGGGTCATGCATGTACGCTTTTATCATGTCATCATTTCCTTTAATTAGAGCCATGCATGTATCTTTTTCTCATTTAATTTAATTAGAGCCAATCACACCATGCCAAGCCCATAAATCCTTCTAATTAGAGCCAATACAACATGGTTGCATCGTCCATATCCCCTTCATTATGGAGTTTTCTCTCCTTTTGGTATGCTGTTTCCTCTCTTTCTTGGTTTTGAAGATGACTTGCTGATATAAGTTGAATCTACTACAACTCACGTGTGTATATAAGTTGGTGAAATTTGATCTAAAGGAGCGAGGTAGGACTAATATTGATTGAATCAGTTCTTTACTGCAATCCGATTATAGGCCGGCTGGCTATAGCCTTCGTGGCCCAACCCAGAGGTTAGGGGTTTGATACCCAGTTAAAACATATATTTTTTACCTTTTTTCATGAAAGTGGCAGGAGCAGGCCCATCAAAGGAAGGTCGATGCCCAGCCAGTTGGGCCGTTGCACCTTCCGACTATGTTCTCCCATCGCATGAAAACACGGCCAGAAATTCACGTGAATAGTACCACCTCATTAGATTAAAAAAAGTCCAAATAACAAAATCACGTAGGCGGGACGAAACCAAGAATACCACCTTGCTTTATTAGTAGGTATAGATATAGATATAGACTAGTACAAATGCCCGTGCGTTGCACCGGGCGGAAAAAGAGGCACACCATGCTTCATGTGAAAAAAAAGTGTGTTCCTCCAAACATTATTGAGCAATAAATAAAGCGTGTAGTTAGCCTAAAAACCTGCTTCATGTGTTAAATATGGAAATATTCTTATTTTTAATAAAAGTTAACGTTTACATAAAAATCGGGACACTTTTTGAAGAATAGTTAACATTTTTATGAAATTGGAACATTTCTTTAAATAGGAATTTTTAACAGATGTTTTTTAATAATGTTTTGTCTTTTTGAAAACTATATTTTATTTGTAATATTTTTTGCACTATTTGGGCTTGGCCCAAACATAAGGACTTGCCTACACAAACACGCACACTTTAAGAAAAAGAAGACAATGTCGTTGCGAGAAGAACTGCCCACGTTGTCTCTCTTCCCGTTCCCCATCTCACTATCCCTAGTAAACAAATAATTGACCCTCTTCATTTAATTGCCCATGCGTTGCAACATGAACGTACCATAATTTGCATGTTTGAAAAGTCACCTGGGATTCAGTTATCTTGCAAATGCATAAAAATATTTTGGTGTTGTTGCTCCATGTAGTCCCCTTGTCTCTCTTGCGGAAGAATGAAGAATGAACTGTGATATAATTTGCATGTTTGAAAAACTTGACTGAGATTCAGTCATCTAGTCTATAGCAAATACATAACTCAATGTCTCACTATGATATGGATAAATCTTATGGCTCTCTTAAACACAAACAATGATAATTCTCGTGGGATCTTCTGTCACATAAAGTGTGAGAATTGCAAGAGCAGGACAAATAATCGTACATAAAAGATAAATTGAGCACTGAGACATCAAAGTAAATCAGAGCTAGTCATGATTCACCCACCCTTGCTCTGATGGTTTTATGCATTTGCTCACCTCTCAACAAGGCGACAACTATAACATTGTACTGCCCCAAGTAGTGTTCCTCTATGTCTACTCATGGTTTCATTCAAGTTTTTTTACGCTATTATCCACCAATGAACATAGAAAGGGGTCACTAAAGGTATCTTCAGATATAACTTATCCAGGGCCATCAGTTATGGTATAAGCATCCAAAGGAATACTCAGATATAACTTATATACAACAAATAGAGCCAACCAGAAGGTGTCTTCAGATATAAAGCCATGTAAAAAATTGTCACCCTGGAAAAATATTGCATGCTTGAGAGATCAGGATGCACGTTTCCATCTCTGTTTACAAGTTGCGACCATGTGAGCATGGTCTATGTTACAGTAAAAGAAAGAGAAGAAAAACTACACCGAAACAGGTTAGTTTTAAGTCACATGATGGGGAAAAGGTGGATTTACCATTGGAAAAAAATAGGTCTTATTAGCACTAAGACACACATCAGCATAAAAGATAAGGAATGCCAGAACATAGCATCAGTAAGAAAATAAAAATGCATAGAACAGAAGCACCACAATTTGGGTCGAAACCTGACATGGGTAATAGACGATTACTTTTGCTTCAAAAGAATACATCAAAGCTTCCATTGGTCACTGAAACTTCTCCTGGCATGATATATGGTCCAGCAGAAAGCTACACTACTGGCAAGTATAAGCAAATAATGTATAGTTATAAGCAAATAATGTATAGTTATAAAAGATATGGGTAGTTAACTCTACAAATAACAACTCAAGAATAACATATAGTTATAAGTAGGTAGAACATTGCTCTTCTACAACAAAAGATTATGAAAAGTTTATGATCCAACTATTCAATAGTAGATAATGGTACAGTTTTGTGTAATGGAACAAACACATTCTATTTATTACCCTGATTTGTTAGTTTAAAGGCAATTGACAGAGGAAATTTAAGATAAACATGGCCATTCTGTGTAAGCAAAATAACACAAACAGTGGCAAGAAATAGGATACAGAGATTACAACAATGCCAGTACACAATCTGACTTCACCTACCAAGACTAATAGTTGTTCTCTTTTAGTGGTAATCTTCTATCTGGGAGAGTTACAAATTTGTTCGTAACAAAGAAAAAAATGAATTTTCTGAATCACTAATTTTATGCACCAAGTATCATTCAAATAGGAATATGCAGCACTAAGATTGAAGATAGTGAACCTGACCGAAGGTTGGATTATCCATAGTTTGGTTGGGGATAGAGATACCAAGGAATTGATGATCCCAGTCTCTCTCTGGTTTGGTCCTCAAGGGTGCCCAACAATGTATTCTTTTTGGATGGCTACTGCATAACGGAAGAATGAACACATTTCGAAATTTACACAAGACCATACTTGATTCAGACATCTGCCCCATGTGTCTCCAAGCCACAGAAACTTGCTCTCGTCTATTTATTCAGTGTCCTACAACAAAAGTTGTTTGGTGTGGTACTGGCATACTCCAAACTGGCAGGAAATCATCAATTCGAAGCGTTTCATGACTTTGCTTATCCTTTGGAACATTTGGGATCCTTGAAACTCTCAAGTATTCAGACAATACATGAAGCACAGAAATATGGCATGGGAAGTTGTTTTGAGACAATACATGAAGCAGGCCAAGCACTCCCTCTTCAAGTAGCTCATGGAGCTTGGGGCGGCGATGACGCACGACAGCGATCTGGGGCGGTGGCGAGCAACGCATAACACTAGCGGCGACACGAACAAACGCTTGTCGGCCGGAGAACCGTCGAGCTCAGGGCACAGACGGATGGCGACGCCGATCGTGGAGACTCGCGGCTGCTGTTGGGACCATGCTGGCGGCGGCGGCGGCGCATCCCATTCTACAAATGCTTGTAAAAAATCTTTGCAACTCCAGATCAAAATAAGATTTTTGCAGACGGACATCAATGTTGACTAAATCGTAATAATGTAACAAAAAATAGCTGATCATTATTTTATTCTTTCAAGTGGCACCAGGCACTTAATTCTACTGAAAAATATGCACATACACACTGGCCGCATGCCCAGAGAAGTTAGCTCCACGCAAACATTTGCATATCAGGTCTTGTCATCTTGTGCAACTGTAATGGAGTTTTGACAGATTGATTTGAGCAAAAAACATGGGTCTGCAAGTCTGAACTAATAATAACAGCACGGCAAAGAGAATATTTAGGCCAACAGATCAGGCAATCTGCTACTACATGCATGCGTGTGGAAAGAGGGGTGTTGAAGGCATTAATCTGAGAAACACATGTTGGACAACCCCAGAAACTACAGAGAGAAAAGTTATTTAGTACACGCTAAGAAACACACATGTTTCTTTGTTGATCAATGCATATGTTGCACTTGAATACACCTCCTAATCCTGGTTTGCTAGGTGCAGCTAGCATATCTATTCTGAAGAGCTACTTGTTAACTGGAAAAAAACATAATCGCAGTCAGAGCAATGGGACAGAAACAATGACTAAAATAGGGGATACCATCGAGTGATTAGCTTTCAAGGGGATGCATACCTCTCGTGTAGCCGCCACAGGAGACATTGCACGGCTCGACGGATGTTCTTGTTCCTCCGGCGAACTCGGCGCTTTTTCCTCCGGCGAACTCGGCGGTGACATTGGACGTTTGGTCAAAAATTGTAATTTCGACGGGATGATGGAGATTATGGTCCCGAGGCACGACCTAATGGAGATTCCGGCCGAGGACCCTTACTAATAGCAGCCAATCAAATCCGGGTCGGGCGCTCCATCAATTTGTGTTGGAGAAGGACAGGGCCGGTTTCCAATTTCCTATCCAAATCACAACACATCAGCAGTAAGTCGGAGGTTGAGACGGATACGACAAAGGAGTCCGGAGAGGACTGGTGGCGGCGGACGGCCAGTGCTAGCGGCGAATGGCCGGCGTACCCACAGGATGCTGTCCCACCTTCCATCCTCCATGAACGCCCACGAGCACAGCTGGCGCACCCACAGGAAGTTGACCCCCCTTCCATCCTCCATGAACGCCCACAAGCACGCAAGGGTGGACTCCCTTACCCAAGCACGCACCCACGGCATCCGCCTTCTCCTCCACCGCGGTTGTAGCCGTCCGACGACAAGGGCGCTGCCCGTCACCTGCCCATGCTCCGCCGTCGCTGGAAAAGGAGGAGTTTGGATAAGATGAATTAGAGAACGGACCGTATTTCAAACAAACATAGGGTTTTTTATGTAAAAATGAAGCGTTTAGGTCCACGCCGAGGCTGAACCCGCCGCCGTGCCAGAGCAGCCGGCGCGCGTTCGGCTGGAACCGGGTAGGCGGCGGCCCGTGGCCCATAGCAAATTTTCTGGCCCATGTAATATAAAGCTGTGAAAACAAAATTGGACGGACGAAATTTAGTACCACCTCACGTATATGTTTTAAATTCGAATTGAAAGCGTAAATTCACGGGAAGAAGCGTATTATGACGGTGAACCCACGGAGTCAATCCGTGCTTTATTATTAAAAAAAATTAAAAAAATAGGGAAAGATTATATATTATATACTAGTACAAATGCCCGTGCGTTGCAACGGGCGTGGAATCTTACAAAACCTGCTCCATATGTCGTTAGGTACAATTTCCCTTTTTCTTGAGTTGGAATCGCTGTGATTTATTAACCAGTCTCCATTGATTCTGAGCGTGATAACACACGCTGGCAAGACATGAAACCATGTTTTAGAAAGCTTATTCTTATTGCAACTAAAACATGGGCAACTTTGTTCTTGAACAACGCACCCAGCAAACCTTGGACTCCATGAAGTCCTGAATTTCTTTGTCATATACGCACCATTTCTTATATTCAGTTCTAATAAACGTCGGTACTAGGTTACATTGTTGCTTCTCGGTTGAATTTTGGTCGTTCAGAAGCCACCATGGCATTCTTCGCCTAATTGAAGACTTCATGGAATAGTGTTTGATTCAGTTTTCTTTTTTTTTTATTTCAGAAAACATGATTTGTTTAATAAAAATAAGTGCTTTATTAAAAAATAGTGACTGTTTTTAAATGGAACAACTTTTGGGAATTTTGACCAGTTTTTAAAAAGTGTGAATATATAAAACTATTTTTACTATGTTGAGTTTTTTTATATATAAGTTTGTTCTTTGGTGGGGAGTCGTTATTCTTGTATTTTTCATTATTTGGGCTTGGCCCAAAGAAAGCTCTTGACATGGACATTTCACGTACACAGATAACACTTTGGTGATTCTCAAAAAAAAAACACTTTGGTATTAAAAAAAGGAGTGTCTATTACAATCGACTGAAATTGAATTGGCCTTTAATCAACTACTTGTAGAGGAAACTGCTGAACACAAACATGCTATAATTCATCATTCGGCTGCCGTAAAATCATCATCAACTTGCTGTACAATGATCAACACATTATGAACTAATCACATACTAAATATTTCATCGTCATGAAGCTTTAAATACAGTTTTTTCGACTGAAATTTACAGTCAACTCACTATGATAAACAGTAACTTTAAAAGTGTATCGAGCTTTGATGAATTTTACAGTGTTCGTTTTACTATAATTCCAGTCAGTAACAACCAGATCACAACAAAGATACTGGAACTTCCGTAAAAATAAGGAGAAACAACCAGTAACAATGTGTGCTTTATGATCAGATAAGAACGAAAAAAAGGATGGAGGAAGAAGGGGACATAATAGCTACACAATCAGGAAACTACAGTCACACCAAGAAGACAAACTGCAGGTCAGTACTCTCGCAATCTCCTCCAAATAGTTCTTCCAGTACAAGAAGATCAACACCTAAGAGCATCATCAAAACATGTCTAGAACACCAATAGTTCAGAAAAATGTAGCACCATAAATTAAGGTAACTGTATACTGTAAAATCTATACCAGGTCATTGTAAAATACAACAATCACAACCTTTATGGTACTGCTGTAAATTACAGAAGTTGTAGGATTGTAAATCTTCGAACAGGGTAGTGTAAATTCAAGCAGAAGGTCACTGTAAATTCAAACAATCAAAAAAATTATAGAGCTGTAAATTATAGAAGCTACAGGACACTAAATTCATCATCAGGTTAGTCATCAATTAACTATAATTTACTACGAAAACAAAAACAAGTAGACTTCTTTGAGTACTACAGTACAGTAAAATCCATCATAGCAATTCAAAAAATTCTAGTAGCTACAGGGCAGTTATTCGATCGTCGTGTATTGTAAATTCATCATGAAGAAACGGTAAAGTAAACACAAACTTTTAGAAGGCACTCTAAACTGGACAGTATTACCTGTTAATCAGAAACAAAACAAAATAAATTTCTAAAGGACGAACAAAATGAACTTCTTCACTGACTTCACTCAACATACATAGACAAACAAATCGGAAAAATATATCACTTCACTTGCATGACTTCACCCAACATACATAGACTAACAAGTCAAAAAAATATAGGGGACAATGAGGTGCTTCACTTGCATGACTTCACCAACATACATGGAAAAACTCTGAACCACAACCCTTAAATATGATTCTTCTACTGCATGTAGGGGCTTGACTCCACCCAACATACAAAGATAGAAGGTCAGCATGTGCATCATTCAAGGCGGCCAAATATGGCAAAGGACATGGAATTTATATACACTGAAGATGAACCTTCTCTCAATGTAAGTAAAAAAGCAACTACTTCACAAGGATACAATTTTGTAAGTAGCAAAACATACTTTTATTTGAGCGAAACAATATTGAAAGTGCTAAAAATATAAAGGGTCATTATTGAAGGAAAAAATATATTCCTATGCGAATTTCTTGATGAAAAATTTGTAACACAACACCCTTGCTTTACTACCGGCCGCCGACTCCGCCAACCCAAACATCTTACTCCTGCTAGCAACGTCACTGGACATGGTGAGGGTGAAAACTCTGTCACATGCTCAAGGGTTATATGATTGGCATTGCTAGTTGAAGGTTATCTACATGGCTTAAAATCATTATTCTAACCTGAAACAGCAAGATAAACATACCTATATAGGCCTTGGAGAGACTACGTATTGTTGCTAGTGTTTGATGAAGCTTCAGATTAAATTACTATGTATTATATGCTTAATTTTATTAGTGCATGCTTGATTTTCTTACAATCAAGGGAAAATGTAGTAATATAATCTGAAGCTTCATGAAACAGCAGGGGTACTACAAAGCTGAAGGTCCCCTGCCTGTAGAATCTAATGCATGTAAAATAAGCAATGCCCTTTTTTGACCTCCTCTTGTACAGAAAATCGTTCCCCAGACTGTACCACCATAGTCAAGAAGCTAGAGTATTTCGCTCTGAAGGACCAAGGTGATTCGATGCACGATCGTCATGCCAATCACCCCTGAGTAATGCTATTGTGGTGTGTCCGGTATCAGGTTATCTGTTGCAAGAGGTTGCAAGTCCACCGAAGCAGTGGCAGAACCAGTATCTTGGTCCGTCTCAGAATCACCCAACTGAGACAGACGGGCTGACACTGGCCCACACACCAGTTCTCTCCACTATCTAACACTTCAAGGGCAATTTGGAATTTATCAGCAATTTCAGAAGCACCAAAACTACCAGAATATGAACTCTATGGTACGAGTAAAGCAGAGCTGGCGAATCATGTTTTAGCCCCTTTCTCCGAACTTCAACTCCTAACTGATAGTGACCCGATGCTTGAAATGTAGAATAACAAATTTCAGTCATGATTAGATAAGTTAAGAAGATTGGAGGGCCTCTGTATTTGAGAAATGCACAAAGCCGTAGTAGCCAGTACAAGATTTACAAAGTATCAAGGGGAACACATAGGTTCATAGAATTGTATGAATGTGAAGACATATCGAACTAAGAAACAATTACGAGCAACAGATTCATACTTCGAGCCAAGACAAACAGATTTTTTTAGTGATT